AAATGCTCTGTTTTTAATATATCCTCTTTTATTTTGTTCCCATTGACAGACTTGTCAGAGTCTTTTGCACATATCTAATTCACTTTGCAGTAAACAAATTTCTATAGGTTTACAGGCTCAGTGAAAAACTTTATATTTTAGTGTGAATGCTAGGAACTTTGAAGTACACACTTGAATAATCCAAACGCAAACTAAAAGGGTTTGAATGCATTAAAAAAAAAAGAATGCAGCAAACTTGACACTTGTGTCACCATGGGGAGGGAAGGAGAGGAAGAAGACAATCATTTCATGGTGCAGAAGTTTGTTGTTAACCTGGTAACCAGTTCTAGTTCACACATCAAAACACTTCTTTCAAACTCCGGCTTTATGCTTCACTGAGAGACAAAGACTATGTGTTCTTCAAAGTGTGGCCTATGAGTAGAGCAACTGTATTATTTATCATCTAAATTAAAACATTTTCAAGAGCTAAAGGGGGAATGCTTACTAGTAGTATATTTACTATTGGTATTAGAAGAAATGATGTCACCATCTAGTCAAGCCAGGACAAACGATAACCCTGTGTGGGCCACTCAGTTAAAACTATATGAGTGCTTATTTGAAAATGTAAATCTGGGGCTCAACACTAGTGTCACTGAATCAGAATCTTTAAAATTGGACTGGGACTCTGCATTTGAACAAGCACCTCAGGAGGTACTGATGTGCATTGATATTGGGGAAGCTGGAGTTAAAACAATAGGCCAAAAAAAGAGTGTGCACAGCCCAGGCATGGTAGCTCATGCCTATAAGTCCAGTTATTTGGCATGCAAAAGCAAGGGGATTGGTTGAGGTTAGGTGCAACATAGTGAGACCCTGTCTCAAAAAGAGAAAAATTAGTCAGGCATAATGATGTGCATCTGTAGTCCTAACTTTGTGAGAGGATCACACGAGCCTGGAAGTTTGAAGTTACAGTGAGCTATGATCGCACTACTGCACTCTGGCATAGGTGAAGGAGTAAGACCCTTTTTCTCAACACAAAAACAGAAATAAAAGTAAGTGAACTCAGAGTGAAGAGGCAGATTGTAACACTTCATAGTGACTCATAATTTTACTTCTTGCCACACCTGAATATGTTGGACTTATGATTCAGTAAGATGTGCCAAATTTATGATATAGAATGCTATGGTGGGGCCTTGAATATCCTTTGATATATGACAAATCCCCTATTTTTTATAGGTGGTTCATAAACTCAGGCTGAGTGGAGATGAGGCCTTGGGCCTTAATACAAGCTGCAATGCTTTGCTCTATGCTACCACCATCTCCTGCTAACTCACCCAGTAAAAAATTATGGGAATTAAACAGGAAGCATTTAGATAAACTGGTTTATTATAACTCCCACTCCCAATCCTGGGAACCTTAAAACAATATCTATAATTAAAGAGACAAACTTCTGTCAAAGAAGGAAGAAAACTGTGAAGACTTTTGAAAGCACATACTTTAAGATCACATTTTTTAAACTGAAGATAATCACCTAACTTTAATAACACATTATTTTAACTTAAATATATATTCAAATGTGTTCAAAGAAATATGTTATTCAGAAAAAAATGTTCTGAGTCTCTGACTATTGTACCCTTCAGTCCAATTACATACTTATAGTGAACTCTAGCCTAGAAAGGTGCACGTACAACAGCCAGAACGAAACGCATCATTTCACTTTTCCAAAACATGATTTTCTTGGTTTTTTTGAAGAAGGCTTATCTGCCAAGAAATGAGCAAGGGTAGGAACAATCTACTCTAACAAGAAGGTTGTTTTCTTAGCATCAATTTTGATGTATGCAGATTTTTATATTTAAAATGAAAGCATTAATATTATAGCTTAAGTGATTATATATTAGTTGACCCAAAATAAAAGAAATCAATTCACCAATTGTAGTTTCTCAAAGCTAAAAGGACTATTTCTCATCCAGAACAAAAAAAGGCACCATTTGTTTGATATCATTTTGATGAATTATTAATTTTATCACAGCTGAGATGACAGCTAATATTAGAACATTGAATTATTAATTTTCAAATGTGCAATAAAAAAGCAGAATAAACATAAACCAAGATGTGTTTTATGTAGGGGTTACATTGCTTACATATTCTATTTAAGAAAAATATCAAAGGAAACTGAGGAATTAAAAATCTTGTCAACACTTCTGATGAAATCTTTTACCTATCACTTTACATGCCATTTTTAAATATGAAGTATAAATAACATTATGTATTACCTGATAATAAATGTGATTATTGAGCATCAAAGATATATATTATCCATATTACAAATCATCTTTGTGTAGTTGCTAGTATGATAGTTGAATTACGGAGCCATAATACTAGTGAGAAACATCTGTGTCTTTAAAGGATTCACCTCTAATCCTCTCAGGATTATTTAATCGAGAGAAGCAAACTATTTCTTCAGAATAGGTTTGAGTTATTTTTTAGCAGTTTTTTTCGTCACGACAGTTACGTCTGTTGCCTCACAGACTAAGGTTCTGAGAGGTCCCAGTCTTCCTCAAATGTACAGTGTTGGTGAAATTTCTGTCCTAAAGCAAGGACAGACTCTCTACAGCTCCATTGCACTAGGGGTTATTGCTGATTGTCCTGTCAAATAGTGCCTCATAAACATCCCTTGGACTCTTGAGCCTTCAAAGCCTTAACACTTGATTCCTAAATATGAAAATATTTCCATAGTGTTGGCATCATAAACACTCAAGCAATGCAGAACAGAACTACTGCTCAGAGCACAGGCCAGTTAGAGGAGATGGAGAGGAGGCTGTAAGGCAAACAGACTGATGGATAATTTTAGGACATAATTCCCTGGAAGGAGAAATAAAGCTCTTGTTCATCCCAGAGTTCACAAGGATTTAATCCAGATAAAAGGTGAATTTACTTCAATTAAAAAGTGTATTTCTTTATTATGATATTTTCTATTTAGGTAGAAGGATCAGGAAGTATGAAAAAGAGGGATTTTCACATCATTAGATAGATTTTTTTTCTTTCCATTGAAGCAAGACCCCAAAGAGGAAATGCTATGAGTTATACCTCATCTAATTTGGACAAGAATGATCTGAGCCATAAATGCATTTGCAATAATATTTAAAGCAATGATATTTAGTCACCAGTTTAACACACCACCATTGCCACATGTGCCCTCATTGAGGGTTCTGTGTAAGCTGCTATAAGACTTATTAATAAATTATATTATGCTATTTAATAATTAAAACATATGTCTTATATGTTAGAATACCCATCATCAAGTAACAAATTTCCTCATAAGCCAACTCACACATGAAACAAGAAGACCTGGCCTTTTGTTCTAGGTCCTTCTATTACCATCAGTTCTGTAAAATAGATTTTATATACATACCTATTTATTAAGAAATTAAGTAGCTTGCCCAATATTACATCATGAGTAAGAAGTAAAATGCATTTGTATGTTAATACAAATCTCCTTTTTCAGATAATACATGTCCCTCTTGAAAATATACAATGTATGTTAGACTATCAAAATGTCAGAGAACTTTCATAATATTGCATATATTTACGTGATTAACTAATAGAGTTCTCCAAATAGTCTTATGTGCTATGTACCATTATTATCTCACTTTTACTTGCATGAAGGTTGAGACAGAAGAAGTTAAATAAATTTCTGGTTACTAAAAGGGCTAGACTGTGAACTCAAGGTAATAGAGTAGATTATGTTAATATAGGTATATATAAACCCAACACACTAAGCTGAAAGTGTTGAAAAATTAGAAGCAAAAAAGACAAACAGGTTCTATAACTCCTGGATTCATCAGAAAGAAGAGATCTGAGTCGCTTTCTTTAAACAGAAAAGAGTTGAGCCCACTTTATTTTAGAATGTAGTGGGTTCTCTCTAATTTTTTCACTGTTAATTTCCATTAATTGCCTTCCAACCTCTTCTCCTCTTCCTGACCTTCCATAGAATGGAGTCTATAAGTTGCCCAGAACACCGAGTGCTCCTGGAAAGACCTGCAACCCTTCATTACCCTGACGCCTTATAGGCTCAAAACAACTTTATGCCTTGAGACCATCAGGATCAATCTACTTATGCTCTTATTGATGTTTATATCAGTTACCATAATAAACCCAATTTCTGATTCCCTGCCTTCTATTCCACATGTCTCTCTGTGTCTGCTTCTATTTCTACCCCTTCCTAATGCCTAAAACCCTTCCACCCTGCCCTCTTTGACTCATAGCCAGTCTTCCGGGCACCTCCCCATAGATCTATCCTTGTCTTCTTCTTTGAATATTCCCTTTACCTTCTTCTAAAAACGTTTGCTTTATAACTCTCCCCTGCAGGTGCTTTCTTCTCTTTAGCCCTCTCAGTTGGTGCCTGATATTGCTCCCACTCTTTTCCTCTTTTTGGGTATGAAGGTTGTGTACACGTTTTCCCTGCTCAACTACTACGTCATTTTCCTTCAGGAAAACACTCAGCTCTCAGTTTCAAATCATCAGACAACCTCACCCACTCCTCCTCCAATTTGCAGCCCTTTACAGATGCACTGGGCCACTCTTTCATTGCTTAAAAGTGTAATTTCTATGTTTGCTGATATTTTCCCCAACAATACTCCTAACATAATTTCCAAGGAATTTGATATCCACAGAGTCATAGATGATCTTTCAGATTCCCTGGCCTCTTCATACCTTGGCCTCTGCCTTTCCTCAGTCACTCACTCTCAAGGTTATACCCTAGCCCATGAGGAGAATACGGGTCAAGGACCTTTATGGAGAGATGAAACTCCCCTTTTCTGCCTAAGTGCACAAACAACCCTAAGTGTACTTTGGAAACTCAGCCTGTCTTATTGAACCACATAAGCATACCTTACCAGAATTTACCATTGCTGTGGGATTATTGTATTTTTAAATAGCATACAAACATTTACACAGTTCTTGCTCTTTGTGAGATACTGTTCTAAGCATTTTATTGAAATAAATTCCTTTTCAAAACAGGCTTCTCAGTTCTGGCAGTTCCTCAGATATGAACACACACATATACATCACACTCTTTGTCTAAGTCTTATGCACCTTTTAGGTATCAGTTTAGATATAACTTCATAGAGGAAATGAAGTGACATCATATCCTCTATTTTTCTTCCTGATGAGGAGGTTCTCTTCCATTACCTATCACACTCTGCTCATCTTTTTACAGCAGTTTTCATGAGGTATTATACAATAGCCTGTTTATCTCTCTCCCTCTTTCTCTTCATCTTTCTCTCTTTGTTATTTTTTTCTTTCTTCTTTTCTTTCTCTTCCTTTCTTTCTTTTTTCTCTTTCAAAAAAAAAAGGAAAAAAAACAATAGCCTGTTTATATTCCAAACTATACCTAGTTTTCAAAAGAGAAGGGCCATTCCTGTATGGTTCACTCTGAAATCTCTACTATCACATTTCACAGTCCCTACAGTAATAATTAATTAAACTTTTTTTGAGTTCACAGATTTCAAGACAATTTTTGCTTTAGACTGGCAACTTGGTGATTTTTGATAACTCTATGGATTGTGATTTCATAGAGAATTGACAGGAAAAAGCCAGAAATTATTCAGAGAAGGGAAAAAACTGTTCTCTTTATATGGCTTGAGGCATGAACCAAGGATGCTCTTCTGGCACTTAATGTTTATAGCAAGGTGAGAATATGGACCAAGGATCTTTATGGAGAGATGATACTCCCCTTTTCTGCATAAGTGAACAAAACATCCCTAAGTGTGTGTATATCTATACTTTTTAAAGGCAAACTGAACCAATATCAGGCTCCTGGAAACAATCGTCTTGATACTTCTTACTTTGGAAACTCAGTTGGTTATCTGTGGGTTTGTTCATCTCGTTATTCAAATTCATTTTCAGCATTATTTACTCCTTACTTATCAGTACCATCATTTTCACACTCCTAACTTAGTTCCATGGTCTCATGGTGAGCAGAATGTACTTTCCCTATCTTTGACTTGTTTTGACAAATGAGACATTAGGTGAATGTACGATGGGAGCCTTGAGTGAGACGTGCTTGCATTGTTGGGCTTATATTCTTATCTTCCTGCATTTTGGTAGGAGAAAAACATGCCTTAAGTATATATCGACTTTTGATCCAAAGAGAAACAGATCTGAACCAAACATACACCTTGAAGCCAAATCATACCAAGTCTAGTCAAGATCAGCCCAAACTTAAAGACCTGTAGGCTGTGCCTGAGAAATAAATAGCTGTCATAAGACACTGTGTTTGGGGATGGTTTCAATACACAATTATTGTTAAGAGAACTAACTGCCTTTTTTCCTTCTCTCATTCCCAAAAATTTTGAGAGAAATGGGGCTTGGTCATAGAAGAAATGTTATTACTTCTATGTCCCTAATGAATACACTAGAAGTAGTACTGTCCTTATTGCTAAATAACTACAAAATGGAAAAAAATATTTATATAAGACATTTATTGAGTCTTTAGTTTGTGAACAACCCTATTAGATATTCCTTCTGTGAAGTTATAATCTATACATAGGTTAAAATTGTCAATGAGGCTTCCACTTCAAATAGATACTCAAATTATTCCACTTGTCACCAAACTCCACATGTATCCTTTGGAATTGGAGATCAAGGGAGTGAAAACACTCAGTTGGGGCTTATAAACATTGCCAGTTCCTGAAGCTACTTGCTACACTCTGGGAGGCCAGGGATGTTTCAGGATAATAGCTAAGTGCATAGAAATCTAAAGGTAGAGACTGAACTTCTTCAGAACATCATGTAGTCTTTCTAAGAACAGCCTATCATGTATTTCCTCAAACACGTTTAGTACAACTTTCTTGAAACTAAGCAGTTTTTGGCCATGCAAAGCAGGATGTTATTTTTTGAAACATCTGCTGCCAGAGGACTGGAAGACCAACAGCCTTAAAGGAAGTGTAAACATTTTTTATTTAGCTAAATAAAGTGTGAACTAAAGTTGCTGTATTAAAGATACAGCCAAGACAGGCACACATACACAAATACCCAGTCATCCTCTGGCACTCTGAGCTTGAGAGCTTGTATCAGCCTGTCTTATCAAACCACATAAGCATACCTTACTGGAATTTACCATTGCTATGTGATTATTGTATTTTCAAATAGCAAACAAACATTTACACAGCTCTTGCTCTATGTGAGATACTGTTCTAAGCATTTTATTAAGATAAATTCCTTTTCAAAACTAATATTCACCCAACAACAATCGAATATGCATTCTTATGAAGTATATGTGGAACATTCTCCAGAAGAGATCACATGTTAGGCCCCCCAAACAAGTTTTAGTACATTTAAGAAAGTCAAAATAGTATCACATATCTTTTCCAATCACAATGGTATAAAGCTAGACGTTAATAACAGGAGGAATCTTGGCAACTTCAAAATAACCCCAAGGGAAATAATCTTCTTACCCTCATGTGTCTTATGATGTAATTGAGATCCAGAGAACCTAAGAGATTTGCCCAACATCATGCAGTAAATGGTGAAAGCAAGACTTGATTCCAGAATCTGTATTCAAAAAACTGAAAATCTTTGAACATTATATGAATGCAAAAATAAAGCTGCAATGTTTAAGATGTGGTTTACTTCAGTGCAACTTGGTAAAAACAAAATAATTAGAAAGTTAGGATTATTTTTCCTTCTTCATTGATTATTCAGTCTTGTTTAAGTCTAATTAGATAAACCATTTACCTTTTAGCATGCATATCTGAGTACTTAATGCACATTCATCATGCACATATAGAATGCTTTCCTTTCATATATGGAGAGAAGTTAGTGAAAGGCAGGGGAGAAAAAAAGAAGAAACGCTACTCCAATTAAGAACACTGAATTATACAATTGTTATTTTAAAAACAGATCAATTTTTAGCTACTATAAAGTTGCAAGGAAGATGGAAGACAAGATGAATTCAGTTAGGCTTCAGCAATAATTACTATTATCTTCGGGTCATTTTTGGAGGCTTAGCTCTAAATAGTACAAGAGCATCCTGTAAGAAATCCATGTATAGGTGGTGAAACATTCAGTATTTCAGAAGTTTTTACTCTCTGTCACATGATAAAGTTACATAGTTTGGAGTATTCTGGATGTATTTATTTCTCTGAGGTCTGATCTCCTATCCCACATTGGATGAATAGATAGCTATTAAAATGCCATGATGATTTGAGGAATGTATGAAAACAATAACTAATAGCTAAGATTTATAAAAGCTATTTTGTACTGAGCACTGTTTCCAGCATTTTGCCTGTATTTTCTCACTCTTTACAACAACACAACAAGGTAAGTGTTGTTATTATTGTACCCATTTTACAGATGAGAAAGTTAAGGCCAGATGGAAGATATGATCCTACAGTTAGTAAGGATGCATACCCAGCCAATCTTGTTCCATAAAATGTGCTCTTAAGCTTTTCCTTCCTTGTTCCTTTCCCCAAGCTTTGAAAATCCCCTGTTCCTTGCTAGAGGAGCTTCATTTTTCAGTGCCATTGCTTTAAAACGATGGCAAACAGGTCTATGTGGGATGCAGATATTTCAGTTGGGAGAAGGGTGAAAAAGAAGCAGGGCATGCTATAGTAGAGGACTGACTTGGTAGAAGGCACTGGGGTCACCAGAACCATGCAGCAGGTAGAAAAAATGCAGCCATAAAAAAACGATGAGTTCGTGTCCTTTGTAGGGACATGGATGAATCTGGAAACCATCATTCTCAGCAAACTGACACGAGAACAGAAAATCAAACACTGCGTGTACTCATTCATAGGCAGATGTTGAACAATGAGAACACATGGACACAGGGAGGGGAGCATCACACACTGGGGTTGGTGTTGGGGGATAGGGGAGGGACAGTGGCGGGTGGGGAGGTTGGGGAGAGATAACATGGGGAGAAATGCCAGATAATAGGTGACGGGGGGATGGAGGCAGCAAACCACCTTGCCATGTATGTACCCATGCAACAATCCTGCATGATCTGTACATGTACCTTAGAACCTAAAGTACAATAAAAATAAAATAAAATAAATATGTATAAAAAAGAAAAATCATAGTAAAGCCAGGGCCCAGCTGAGAAAGAAATGAGGAGCAAATGAGAACAATTGATAAAGGCAAGTCTGTCCATAATTCCTTCCATAATGACCTTAACAGCACTGAAGCCCTTTCAGGCAATACAGTTTAGCTTAACCAGGTACTAAGCCACAGTTCTCACCTAGTCTGGTAGTTGATTGCAGCTTCATCTCTATTCCTGAGGTGGACATGAATTTTCAGCCCTTAGCACATTATCTACCCCTGTGAGGAATTCAGGATACCTGTTAGCCAAGGAACTGGATGTTCACCTGAATCTACTCTCACTGAACAGACTTACACATTCTTTTTGACTGCATTTCCCCCAATTTACATCTATATCCCAGCAACCTCATCCCTTTGGAAATGAAGCATTACTTTGAACACTATATTTCTTATCTGTGCCAAACACCTTTCAAATAGTAACATTCTCTTTGTTTGCGGTCTCATCTCTTTCCACAGCTCAGCAGCTACCAGAAATGTGCTCCAATCTTCCTCCAAACTAACCACCTCAAAACATGATATCACCACACATCTAAAATTCTGAGCACTGCTACTTCTTAACAAATATTATTGTCTTGCTTCACCTACCAGATCATTTCCCTTGGAAGAGAAACTACTTACCATGTCATCTGGGTTCTTCAAGAATAGCTGAACATGTGTTACAGGGAATGGCCATGTGGGTTGTCCTGCTTTCTGGATACTGATAGCTCTGTTCTATTTTCGTTTTCCATGCCTCTCCCAGGCCTTTGTTTGTGTCACAAAGTATCTTGAGTGCAGAGCCCACACAGGTTGTGACAGGCTTTACTTCTATCATTAACTGGAAACAAAGAAAATCTACACTGAAGGAAATCTTTTCAAGTTGAACTTCTGTCAAGCAATTGGAGGAGCATGTGGTTTTGTGGTAAGATTTTTCAGAGCCAGTTGTGGAAGTGGGTAAGTGTTGCAAGTGGTAAATGACTACTTCAATGCCCACAGAGTGTGTGAGTGGCATTTGCTCCTTACCCATCAGTTTCTGATCTCCTCTGAAGCTCAGAAAGAGACCCTCAGTTGTTAGACACAACCATATCACAAGCCATTTAATTTTTAAAAAAATTATTGTTACATGTGGAATAAAAATGCCATGTGCTATTAAAAACTTTAATTTTCCATTAAAAATTATTGAAGAAAAGCTTATTCACTTGACCAGCCCAGGAGTTTTTAGTAGAGGATCTCTAGTGCAATTACCCCTTTCTCTTATGGACCAGTCTATATTAGGATACATGTTGGTTTATAGTCTAGCTGGGACAAAGAAACCTACACACAGTACATTTTCAGATAAGCAAGTTAAATTTCACATGACAAGCAGGCAGAGGAGAAAAACTGTGTGAGAAAGTCTGGCAAATTGGAACAACTGAAAGAAATTCAATATGGCTGTAGCAAGGTGGAAGAGTGGCAAGTGATGACATGATGATTTGAGAGAGAGAGAGAGAGAGAGAGAGAGAGAGAGAGAGAGAGAGAGTCAGATGACAGAAGTCCATAATAAGCTCTGAATATTTTCCTCATCAATAAGAAATTACTGTAAGATTTCAAGCAGTAGCATGAAATCATAACATTTTTACCTATTTTCAAAAGATTATGCTGATTTCAGTAAAAGAATAAACAGGAGAAATTAGGAGAGAGATAGGGTAGCTTTGATTATGCTAGTAACGGCTGGTAGAGAGAGAGTTAAATAGAGTGAATTGGAAAACTGGACAGAATTGGCAACTGTTCAGGAAGTTAAATCTTTTGAATGAATAGCTATCCATTCTCATGATCTGACTAAACATACCTCACCAGCTTCAACTAAAAGTCGTGTGCCCTTCACTCTTTATGCTTCAAGCACAATGACCTACAGTTTTTCAACCTCAAAAACTTTTGCTACCTGCTCTTGTCTTTTTAATATATACCCTTGCCTAAAAATGCCCTCTCCGCTGGTCCTTCCAATTTCAGGTCTTCTCTCAAGACCTATTCTGAGCCCCTAATCTAGGGGCTGATATATCTAGGGCTGTTCTTGTTATATATTCCCAATGTCTACTGCTTTCTTTTTTGGGAGGTAGTAGGGTGGTGGGGAGGGTAGTAGTCCCTTCAATCACACTTGAATACTTTGGTATGAGGAGGAATATTCTCTCTTTCATTATAGTAGGGACTTTGACTACCTCTCTCTTTGGTGTATTCCCAGGGCCACGACTCTGCCTACACATACTAGGCACTCAATATGTATTTGCTAAATAAATTAGCAGACTCAGATGATGCATCTTTACTAAGTCAGTCTTTAAAATATATATGCATCCTTGTAGAGTCAGTATAACTAAAATATTGAGTCTCCTTAGGTTTCTCCTGGAAATAAATGCCCAATGATGACTATTTACTACTTACAGGTGACACTTATGACCATCAAATTAGTAGCGCAGGCAGTTTGGTTTAATTCCAGTAGTATGCACAGCACCATAACTTGGGTAGCTTTTAAGAGTACTGATGCCCATGTCCTATTCTGGAACAATTGAATCAGAATCTCTGGGGTTTGAGGGAGCCACTGATATTTTTGCATTATCCAAATGACTACCATATGCATAAGAGATTATTACTGTGTGATACTCAGCTCTACCAGCTAAAATATCTTAGATGTACAGATCCGATGTTCAAATTCATTTCTATAGTCTATTAAACTCACTAAACAAGGGACTCCATCATTATGAACTTTGAAACTCATTTGATTTCCCAGAAGCATTGATTGGGTAACTGTTATGTGTCATTATTACATTAAGTAATAGAGATGCAGAGACTTTTAGGACTGAGGGTCCTTAGAAATACTATTTATTTCCTACCTGAAATAGCAAAACACTGTGGCTCCAAGGTCCATAAAATATCTGACTTTTGTGTGCAAAATCACTTCAGTTATCAATATTTTCATTGACTTGACTTTGAAAGCCCTTGTTCTTGTGTTTTATCTTCTTTTTTTGTTATCTGTGAAATTTTTTGTTATTTTATTTATTTATTTATTTAATTTATTTTTATTGCATTTTAGGTTTTGGGGTACATGTGCAGAACATGCAAGACAGTTGCATAGGTACACACATGGCAGTGTGTTTTGCTGCCTTCCTCCCCTTCACCCACATTTGGCATTTCTCCTCAGGCTATCCTTCCCTAGCTCCCCGCCCCCCCGCTGTCCCTCCCCTATTCCCCACAATAGACCCCAGTGTGTAGTGCTCCCTTCCCTGTGTCCATGTGTTCTCATTTTTCAACACCCGCCTATGAGTGAAAATATGCGGCATTTCATTTTCTGTTCTTGTGTCAGTTTGCTGAGAATGATGTTCTCCAGATTCATCCATGTCCCTACAAACGACATGAACTCATCATTTTGATGGCTGCATAATATTCCATGGTGTATATGTGCCACATTTTCCCAATCCTGTCTATCATCGATGGGCATTAGGATTGGTTCCAGGTCTTTGCTATTGTAAACAGTGCTGCAATGGACATTGGTGTGCATGTGTCCTTATAGTAGAACAATTTATCTTCTAAATCAGTTATACTCATGTTTATGTTTTCTGCTTATGTATGTTCTGTCATATTGCTAGTAAGCAGTAGAAGATGCTGCTTTTTAAATGTTATTACAGCTTTTTAAGTGTTATTATATTATACATAGCCATGGAATCAAAGAATGTCTGCTAAGATTCATCAGCCTGCTCCTATTACTTTTTTCCTTATTCAAACTGCAGTGTAGGGTGCCTGTTAATTACTAGACACTGTTGTTTTACAGGAGGAAAAATATTTTATACTTCTTCACAGAAACTGTGTCTGTTAGAATATGATGAAGGAACAATTTATCACCATTTTGGATGTCGTTCTAGCACTGCTATGTAGAGTAGAGAGGCCTTTTCTCAACCTTCCCAGTCATTGGTTTATGATTTCACCCAGTTGGAGAAATTCTCAGGTCTATTTGTCATTTAAAATCTAAGTCTCATTTCTTCAAACCTTTCTTTTTTCTTTTGGTCATATAAATTGCTGCACATGGGACAGGACTGAAGGATGATTATAACTTACAGAAATTATAGGTACCATCTCTTCACCTTTTTTGGGTTAATACAAAGTTCTGCAAAGTTCCAGAGAATTGTCTTTACCAATGAATGTTTCTAAAATATGGTTATCTATTCATAATCTCTTCCTTTCTTCTCTACATTCACTATTAGTAAGAGTTCTAATATAAGGGTACTACAATGATGATACATAAAGGACAACTCAATTCAAGAAAACTGTTCAGTAAAATGAATTTGCATTTAAAGAACATATTTTAAGAGAGAAAAAAATTTAGAATAATCAAATGGGGATGAAGTTTTCTACAGGGAACAGAATTAGGACTTAGAATCTATATAGACCAGGGACTGAATCCAGATTCTGCCAATTACTTTAGGAAAGGCTTTGGGCTAATTACCTCAATTTTCTTCCTAAACCTCAGTTTAGTCATCTGTCAAAAAAAAAGTAAAAATTTGTTTAATAACAACCTGCAATATTTTCAATATGCAAAATTATAAGTTCAGGAAAAAAATTGATTTGAATTGTTTAGGTAGATCTACTTTTTACAGTTGTGGTAAAATAATTTAAATGGGATAAGAGCATATGTATGATATAAGTGTAACAATGCATACCACCAAAATTTATTCAAAAGATATTTAAGGAAACATCTCTATGTATAACACACTCTTCTTAAAATCTAGGGATGTGACAGAGCAAGATATGGTCCCTGACTCATGGATCTTACATAATATTAGAAAGACACCTATTAAACTCTCCATCCTATCTGCTTCAACTTCAGCTCTTAACTTTACTTTCTACTATCTTTTTCAAGTCAAGAGTAAATGGAGAGCAAAGAGAATCCATCTTTCCTCTTTGCGTTTGCATCACTGTTTAACGTAATAATCTCTACCTACTTTTCAGAACAATTCTGAATATTAATAAGACAATGTCTATGAGATGAACTCTGGAAAAGCATAAGTGTAAGGCATTATAATTTATTGCTTCTCAAATGTTATATAAGATATTCAACTGGATGTGTTATTAACAAAAAATAAAACATTACAATAAAGAGAAATTTAGAATGAGAAAACATTTGGAATTCTTCATTACTTGATATGAATAGTCTGTAATCTTTATAACGGTTTTCTGGCTTTATGAGGCACTTTGTCTATTGAGATAGATGTAGAATCTAGAATGGTAAACTTTGAGATGCGTTTTGAAGCTCTTTGAAGCAAAAGAAGAACAGAAAGTATTTTGAGGGTTTTGGATGTATTAGATTGAACCATATGTAATTACTGAGTCAATAATTTTTGTTCCACAAAATGACATTTCCATATGATTCACTGTAGTTTGTACTTTAAAGATTGTTTCCTTTATTTGCCTTTTTATTCATTGATAAAAAATATTAAGCCAACCTGATATTGTGCCATGAAGAATTTGTATTAGTTGTAAGAAATAACTTAGTTACTTTTTTTATTTTCTTTTTCTTTTTCTATTTGGCTTATAGGTAAAGTTGTTTTTTATTAATTTGTGTAGATTCTCAAAAGATTTTGTGAAATGATCAATTTCTGAAAGGTGTTAATGGGACTAGATCCTTATTTCATAGTGTTCATGGATTTCATTAATGTCTGAGAAGACCAAACCAAGCTAAGGAGGTCTGCT